TGGGCAAACTGAATATGTATCATCTATTATACATGCATTTGTAGCTTTATTAGAAATTCTCTTTCACTGTGGCTCAGTTTGGGCATTCAGGTTTTCTGTGGCCAGAACTGGTTGATATCATCCAACTCTGACAAAGAAATATATGCAGTATCACTGTTTCCCTTTTACTTTACAAATTGTCTGTGTAAGCCTAGAAATCAGAACAAATTACAGTTTCTAAGTTCTACTCTGTGTCAGTTTTTAAAATGATTTATTTGCTTTCTGTAAAACAACAACAACAACAAATCCAATATTTTATAAAATTATCTAAACGAACATCATTTGTGGCAAACACTACCATCATAAAAAATGGCACGTGACCACATGAAGCTTCTGTTTTGGGAGGTTTCAATATGTTGGTGTGTGTATTTTGATTTTAAGCAGCCTAAAATTTGTTTACATTTCTAAAATCGAATTTGTCTAGAACTAATTTTTCAACCTCTTGTCCTACTCTGGCAATGGAGGTGCAGAGGCCAGCACTCCCCTTTAGATTTCTTAATATAAGATGATTGCTAATCTGCACCCCGCCCCCCTTTTTATAGACTCCATCCTCATGTTGTTTCATTTAGAAAAACCAAACCAAACAATATAAAACAAACAATAAAAAGAAAAATCAAAACTGACACTCTTTTTGACGGTGACTTTAACATCTATGCAGATGACACTCTCCTTACAATCAATTACCTTAATGAAAAAAACATGTTAAATCTACAAAACCTAAGAGCCTGGTGATTATTTAGCAGAAATCTCTTATGCAAGAACTCTGAATAAGTTTTTTCCAGACAATTTAAAGTGCTTTACTTATTTTGATGTTATTACAAAATGATCAGGAACAAGTGAAATATAAATCTAAATGTTTCAGTGTCATGTCTAATCCAAATACAGAATTTTGCATGCAAATTTATTAGTATTTAGAAATTCTGCACCCTACTGTAAATAGCATAACATACCTGGGATTTTTTCTTTTACTTACTTTAATAATTCCAAAGGAGAGATGAATTTTTGTTGATCACTTTAGGGAATGTTTTTAATTGCGATTTTGATTGTTTTATATAGATTAATCAATTAAATTATGAAACTCTAGAGAGCTCATTTTAATCTTTTTTTTATCCTTTTTGCATTGAGAGTTTCGAACAAAGTTACTTCTTGAAATTTTACAGTGGCACCACGACAACGTCCAACATGAGAAATGAGACTTAACCATCTGCAAAATTCTCTGCCTTAATTGTCCTTGAGGAATATGTTGAACCCCAGCTGCCAAACATGATTAATTTACAGACTTCTTTTTTTAGACGAGAACATCTATTTACAAGTTTCGTCGGTTTTTGGGTTTTGCATGAAGTCCATTAAGTATTGAATTGAAAAGTCGTGTGATTTGTGCCGTTTTCTTTTCTTTTTTTCTTTCATTCTTTCGGGTTCTTTTTGTTGTTTTTTTTTTTTTGTTGTTTTTTTTACCCAAGCAGTATTATTAAAATGAAGATAAATTGCAGCCAGTCTCAGGGAAATTTTTCTCAAAAGAAACAAAGCCAACACCGAAGATATATAAAATGCGCTTTGTTCATCAGAGGGAGAGATAAAGAAAGACTCCACTCAGCGAGCTCTGAATGCTGCATTTCATGCCTTCAACAATTATGCTGAAAGGTCAAGTATTACAGCATCTTGTGTTCCGCTTTGCATGCAAAGTATTTCAGTTCGCAAATGACCCTCGTTTGCGCTCTTTGCACAATGGCTCGAAGAAGCAGATAAACGTAGCACAATTAAAGATTTTTGCTGCTAGCTCACAATAACATTTACCAAGGGGGGTGATTGCATTTGCTGTGTAATTGTCCTATTTGTAATCCTCATGAATGCTTGGGCCTGCTGCAATGAAATGTTTAGGAACTTAAGAAAGAAGAACGAGAGTGGCTGTATTTAAAAAGAACACAGTTTTCATATATACATATAGATTTATAAGATTATACAACGACTAATATGAAATTGCTTTTTTGAGTATATCTTATGTAATAAATGCAGACTTTGTGCTCATTTTTCATTTTCCCATTGACGTATTCTTTTCAGCACCGTGGACAGCACCCGTGTCATCATTAACATCTAAATCAGAAGAAAAGCAATTAAACGCACTACAAACACTTACTTAGCATATTATTATTATTATTATTATTATTATTATTATTATTATTATTATTATTATTATTATTATTATTATTATTATTATTTGTTTATGTGAAATTCAAGTAATTATTGGAGCACTTCTTAATGTCGAGAATAGGCCACGCTATCGTCACATACTCAGCAGCAATGTATGTCAGGAATCACACACCAGTGAACAAAATCACCAACGACTCACTAGTTTTTGTTTAATGATTGCAGGTCTGTTAATATTAATAGGTAATCTACGTGAGCATTACTCTTATTTGAATTTTTCCCAATATAAAAAAACAACTTTTGAAAACTGTTTTGTAAGTTGTAGTTTTGGAACAAATTAAAAAAACAAACAAAAAAAGAAACCCAAGCTACTGATAACTGCCCTGCTAGGCTCACTGTATCTAACTAGTTAGCTGTTAGGCTGTCTCTTTACCGCGATGTCGATATTTGTTGGGTTTAATAAAAAGAATCTAATAAAATGCTTAATGTGCTCTGAAAAGAAATCCACAATTTATACATTTTTAGGGAAAATTTAGATAAAACTTAAAGAGACCCCAGCCCCCGCTTTTATTTCATTTCTGAAGTTATATATATATATACATTTTGTCCTCCTCAACTTTAAATTGAGTATTGACTACGTACTACTGATACACTGGGTCCCTGGGTGAATGAAATTCAGCAGCTAGTCACTAACTCAAATATGATTACCTTGAGATTAGAGACTAATTGCTTGGGGTTCGTGAAGACAGCCCACAATAAAGGCAGGAAGACTTGAGAAGTTGCACTGTGGGTTTCTACAAAAGAGAGCGATGAGAGCACACACGTTTCCAACAAGTCATTCTCAACAGCTACAAGCTGCACACAAAGACCACACACCGCGCCAAAGACATGTTAATGTAATCCCAAAGTTCTCACTTCTCTCCCGAACAAAACCTGCTCTGCAAAATACCTAATAGAAGATAGTTTCTGATGCTGGTAAGATTTCACTTAAAGTCTCTAAAATTGCTTTTCTAGGGGCTGCCTGGTGCCCTTAAACTGTATCTTTCTCTGGCTTCAAGGGAAAGACCTACTGCGTGCTTGGAAAGGAGACGGACGTGAGTTTAGTGCCTAATTTTTTTGAACATCACATTTTTTATACGATAATACTGACTGAATATGCTTTTGGATTTTAAATACAAAGTTGTAGAAAATCAGTTAATGTTCTTGTATTTGTATTAACATTAGCCCCCATTAAGCAAAAAGCACTGCTGAGCCCCAGTTCTCTGAGTGTTTTGCAGAATTTGTGCTAAAATGGGACTTATGCAAAAGTCATATAAACAACTTGTGGTCCAGTTGTGGACTAAGGCTTCTAACTGTACTATATGAGCCGCATGTACTTTGGCCACCGATGCATACGGTAAGTATCAGAAAAAATAGAGAATATTAAAAAATACAAAACAAAAAACCCCCAAAACATAATGGTCACCTCGGGCGGCAAATAAAGCTGGGTGACTTTGAAAAACAGTAGTATGTGAATAGTTGAGTACATTCCGGTCTAGAAATAAAGAAGTTTCCATATAATTAATAAAATTTCAGGAATTAAAAGTGCAGCAGGACCGGAAAAGTCAGATAGGCAAATGGAAGGAAAAATTACTTTGGTTGGACCATGTGGAGTAAAGATCAATTATCTCAAGACAACGGATAAACATCCAGAGAAGTTTTATTAAAGTGTATGCTTTAAATCCTCACTTATTTCAGGCAGCATCAGAAATGAAAGCCAGTAGAAGCCAAGAAGCTGGAGGATTAAAAAAAAAAAAGCTTTAAAGATAAATTATTTTCATTACGTATCTTTTCTGAAAGGCTCTAAAATTATAGCTTTATGACACATGACAGCGCTGATTTGAAAACAACTTACCCTGGTCAAGCCATAACCGAAAATCGCCCATCATTAACCCCGTCGCTTAGCTACCACATTGTTTACTCTTTAAGACCTATATCTTTGTTAGGTGGCAGGAGAATAGTCTCTAATGATTATTATACCTTTTATTTACCGAACCCTACAACTAAAGGAAAATAAATTACAGCTTGCGTTCTTTATTTTGAAAATAAAGATATCTCCAAGTGTCAAACATCCCACAGGGTTAAAAAACAAACAAACTACAGTCTAATATTTAACATATATAAATATCTGTGTGGAGGCAGCTTTGTTTTTAATGCCCGACACAAACAGCCTGTTTCCTTTCAATTCCCGGATTGATTATTGATGAACCATCTGATAGCCCCGCGCCAACAGTTCACCTCACGACTCTTTTGAGAAGAATACGGCGCTGTTTGGCGAGGGATTTCATCGATAAGCTGCCCTTTGAGCAGCGTTTGTGTTTGATGTTGGGAGTCGAGGTACCTTACCTTTCTGACTCACGCCGAGAGAAAACACACATACAGAAAGAGAAAAGAAAAAAGCACATAAAAGGCTCAGTTTACTCTGCAGGGCATGCTTGTGTGAGTTGCAGCCATGAAACGATAAGCTTGCGAGGTATGTGATTTAGCAGGAGAAAAAACAGGGGCTGGGGGGTGAAATAGGCCCCAGTATTTACTGTCATGTCAGAACTAATGCGGCATTTAGTTATTTTTTTCCACGTTCTGACAAATCTGAACGTATTTTGAAAACTTCTAGTTGCTTGTTCTTTCTTGCATTTTATCTGCAAAAAACTAATAATAATAATAATAATAATAATAATAATAATAATAATAATAATAATAATAATAATAATAATAATAATAATAACCCTGCTGTTTTGTTGTCTTTACCTAAATAATTATTTAATTTCACAACAAAGTTTAACTGTTTGGGTTCCATAATTTATTAATAGGACTGTTTTGCTGTAAGTCAAATATCTATATAAGTTACAAAGAAATAAAACGTACAAATACCAGTGAAACGACAACAAACCGGCAATAGCGTCAAAAACTTTGTACAACAAATAGCTAAAATTCAAACCTTTTACTGAAATATACAAGCTAGATCTACGGCTTACATTAAATTCTATTATGAATCAGAGTCATCACATTTGTGTCTGAGGAGGGAAATTTAAGAGCACCCAGCAGTCCTGCAGGCTATCTGCGTCTCTGTTTCGGGTTTAGTTTTCCCAACTATGGGGCCTATTTGACTGCTGATTCTTCCTTTGTGTCAATATAATTTACATAAATAGATCCCAAGACTTTTACATCCGCAGTTTGTGAACAAGTGATTCTTCCACAAGAGTCACACTTCCTTTCGAAATGGGGAGGAGAAAAAATTCAAGAAGAGCTGCGTCGGTTTCACTCGGTTCTTGTTCAAGTGCGCACATTTACAGTGAAACTTGCCGAGCATTAACATAAAAATGTCTTTTCTTTTTTAAAATTAGATTTAAATCATAGCCGGCGCCTCTTGTCACCATGTCCTGCCGTATAACAGGGCTGAACACTGCAAGGCCGAGCCGTACTCTGCGGCGGGGGAGTTGAGGTGGGAGAGGCCGGCCACTTGGCTCTGAAGTGAGGGCGGACTGGAGGAGTGCTGCGCCAAGTCTGGAGAGTGACCTGTGCTTCCCACCTGCTGGCTCTGATGCTGGCCGAGGCCGGACGTGTTGTTAGACATAATCATGACATTGCCCCCTTGCTGGTGGTGCGTCTGAGCGGAGGATGTGGGCGTGTGGCCGCTGCCTTGGCACGGCTTCCCATCCTTTACCAGCACCGGCACAGCTACTCTCCGAGGTGACTGCTGCTGCTGTTGTTGGCAGGAGCCGCTCTCCTGCTGCATCTGCTGCTGGGAGGCTTTGTCTTTTGCCTGCCTCTTCATTTTATACCGGTGATTCTGGAACCAGATTTTCACCTGGGTCGGGGTGAGGTGGATCATACTTGCCAGGTGTTCCCTCTCCGGCGCCGACAGGTATTTCTGCTGCTTGAAGCGTCGCTCCAGCTCGTACACCTGCGCCTGGGAGAACAGCACTCGCCTCTTTCTCCTCGGTGTGGTTGACAGAGAGCCCATGCCTTTACCCACGTCTGCCAGGGAACTGAGACTGCCCATGCTGCCCATGTTCATCCCGGATGATGAGCCCATGAAGCGGGAAACTGAGGGGGGAAAATAATTGTAATTAAATTCAATTTTTTTAAAAGTTATATTCTCGTGTTACATAGAGACATTTATATGGAGAGAAAATTTAGTATGGACAAATATCATTTGCAGATGCAAAATCAACAATGTTACTCAATTATCAGCTTTTTATAAATCTTCATGGGTCTCAAAGAAGCAGACACCTTTATTTACAACACCTAAAACTCAAAAGTGTCAAAGTGAAAGCGTGTTCATAAACTACATCGACCAAATTTAAGGAGCCGCTCATAAATGACAGCAAAGCTGTTACTGCTGGATGAGTGTGAAAGCCCTGAAGGAAAACTGTTCCATTATTTTTCTGTCGTGAGAATCTTTACAAATGTTGAAATCTGTGGATTAAAAACTTGAATATTTGCGCGATTTCTGCCCCTCCTTACTGGAAACATCTAAAGTACCGAAACTTGAAAAATGCCAATTTTGTGCCGAAAAACGTAAAGATTATAAAAACTGTACTGCAACTCCTAAAACACAGCACCGCGAAACATCCGCAAAAATATGGATTTCAGCTCAATGCGGACTGTGATAACTCCAAGCTGGAGTCAAAGAACAGGTGCAGGATACTCACTGGTGGAAAAACGCGGATCTGGGTTGGCTCCGTACCAGCCGGTTGCCGTGGCGCTGCCCCTCATGCCGTCTTGGTAAGACGGCAGGTCGCCCATGTTGCCCAGGTTGCCGTTACAGTAGCCCCCCATGGCCGTGTGTGACAGCTGAGAAACACCTGCCGCAGTCATGTGGTAAGCCGCAGACACAGTCCCATTATGGCCCATGTGGTGCTGCTGCATCGCCGCCTGTGAGACTTGCGGCTGCCGGTAAGAAGTGAGAGGTGCCCCCAAGTTGTTATTCTCCATACTTACTTTCTTATAGCTCTCCTCAAGGGGACTCAAGATATCGGAAACAGAAAAAGGAGTCGTATGCTTAGGGCTCATCGACATTGTTCTGGGGCTGGAGAGGGAGAAATTAGAAGGCAAGGCAATCTCTCCTTCTGCCTTTTTTTTTTTTTTTTTTTTTGGCCAAAGCCCCTCTGCTTCCTGTTGTCTCAACGTCGATCCTGGTAGATGAACACGTAAGAGAGCGCCTCAAGTCCGCCTTAATTGGATTGAGTGGGAGCTCGGTGCTGGCTTTGGTTTGTTTTAGCTGGGTGCCAGGTTTAAGGCTACCATCAGAGGCGGGGCATCGCCAACAATACAAAACAGCTCTAGCCTCCTTTCGTCGAGCGTAATTTCATTTACAAGACATGTGCTCCCCTCCCACTAACAATAACATAAGCACCGTGCATGATCATAAATGTTCATCCCCGAGACTGCAAGCGGTGTCCGAGCACGCTGCAGCTGCTGCATGTGTGGAGTTTGGGACTTGTTGATGTTGCTGATGAACACGTGGCTGCACCTTGAGATTGCAGTGACCACAATACACTTTATTAACTGTAGTGATGTTTACGAGGGCCTCTTGATGAAAGGAGGCCTATATGGACTTGAGAGTTGGAGAACCACTCCTCAGTTGAACTACTGACTTTTAATGGCCATGAGAGGCCTCCAGTGATTGCAGGATTGTTTGTGTTATGCCTTATCGTACTCAGACATGCAAAAGTGCACTTGCGCAGAGGGAAAATGACTGATACTGATAAGTAAATAAATACACATCCGCGTGTTAAGTGGCTGCGTAAATGATTAACCCCCCTCGTTTTTTTTTCTTTTTTTCCTTTTGATATCATTGGACGCAAGGAGCGCATTACCTAAATTCAGATGCACACACTCGTCTAAGAGACCCAGTGAAAAAAATTGAGTCTGGAGTAGGAGAGGCGTTCATGCAAAGTTAACGGCGTTCAAATAGCTACTCTCCTGCAGCACAACGCCAGGTAACCCTCAGTAGCATCTTGCCTTAATGCTCAAGGAGGCATTACCGTTTAACCCAATCATATCTCATTTGTAAAATTTTGTATGTTTGTATGAGAAAATATTTTTTAAAAGCCTTTTGGTGCCTCTGAGTTCACTTTTAGGTGGAATTTCTCCTCTTTCACTATATATAATTTATATTATATATATATATATATATATATATATATATATATATATATATATATTATATATTATAATATAATATATAATATATATATATTATTAATATAACTATCATTATCATTATTATTATTATTATTATTATTATTTAGGATTATTTTAGCTATAAATCAATATCTTACGTATAGGTTACAAATCCCACGAATTTATAAAATTACACCGAACAAAACAAATAGACGAATTAAAATCGATGCAGTAACTTCTACTTACACAGTCTGTGATGCCTTGAGCCTGTGCACACATTAAACAGATAAAACAGCTGATAATGTAGAGGTCTTGTGGGGTGGTCTAACGTCAGGTGCCAGATGCCGCAGAAGTCTGCGCCTGCAGACTCAAACCATCTCACCTACAGGAATTAAGGAAACACAGCGTCTTCTGGTGGCAACCCCGCTTGGCCGTTGCGCTGTGATCTCCTTCACTCCGCTGTGATTCTAAATGTTTTTTGTTTTTTTTAAATTACATGATATAATATTTGCTTGTTTGTCATAGTAAGAATGGCGCAGTAAAGGCAAAGACCTGCCAAACGGGAGCTAGGGTCAGCGCCGTGAGTGTGTAGCCTGCAGTGGCATACAGATCACTGCCAGTTTGTCACGGGAATCACCAGTTCTGCTATTTTCCTGGCTTGTGAATATTTCACGGCTGCCTGCATGTCCTTGCAGGATAATCTGCGCTCTATTTACAGCCCACTAGTCCAATATAAGGAGCCCCCATAATATACATATCAAAACAATTCAATCCATTCTATTCCAAAACAACCCAATCCAATCTTTAATGAAGCAATATTGTCTTATAGTCCAAGACTAAATGTTACAGCTGCAATAAATTGTTCGGATGATAGCCGCGGTGCGGGTGCATAATCGCAGGCAATTAAAATTACAGCATCTTTCTGCATCCAAGGTAAATCTTGCTTATGCATTCCTTAATTACGGAATTTCGCAAGACATTCTTAATCATCTAAATCAGTACTTTTTTCTTGTTCTGGCACACAGTTATTACGGCCAATTAGTGGCAATTAGTTCAAATGTTCCGACTAATTCCTCACAATAATGAGGACACTTTGAAGTGGCGGGTATGAGGCTACCGAGCCTTTGTTACTGAGGCTTCATGTTGTTAGTTATGAACTGATTGGTGCATGATATACTCAACAGAGCAACTACAGACCTTGAAAAATAAAATGCGGTCGATAAAAAGTAAAACGGAAGTTGCTTGCTGTTGTTAATATCAATTAAACCCTTAATTTCTTTTACATTAAAAGGTATCCAGAGCAGCAGGAAAATAACAAATGTACCACGTTTAAATGTTATATAAAAATACTGAACTTTGCAAATTAATTTCCAAAAACATCCACACTCGCGTTTTCATCAATTTATCAAGTATACATAAAATAAATCTATCTCTCTTGAAATAATACGACAAATAATAAATACCATGTTATTAAATCAGTGCAATTTGTATTCAAAACCAGCATAGCGTTCAGGCCACTTTACAAAGTTATCTTTGTTAAATGTCAACAGTGTTCTTGTGCCAAAACACTAACCCTGCTGACTCTGGCTTTATCAAAGTGGTCAGATTAGAGGTGCAGCAACTACCTGCTATTGCTCCTGCAGCCTTTGGCTTGCCTGAATACTCTTTTCTTTCGAAACTCCAACTTTTGTTTTCTTGACTAAGCTACATCTCATTCACCTTGTACCCGTAAACAGCCTAAAATAGAAGGATAGAAGAAAAAACAGAGAGAAAAAGTGGGCTGCATGTGTGTGCTTCATCATTTCACGTGAAAGTCCTGACGACCTCGTGAGTCATTTCCTTGTTTCAGCTTCAACTGTGAACTACAGGAGGTCACTAATTAGTAATAACCCTTTATTTCCCCACCTCATAATTTATCCAATCAGCTCACGTCATTCTGAATTTTTGAGATTTATTTTGTAGACGTTGAAAAATCCACTTGGTTCAAATGAGAGGTGTTGTTGGACCCTGTCACACAGCCTATGAGGAAATGCTGAAACATGACGTCACGAGACGAAGCTAATATGATGCCACTAGGGGCAGACATACTGCTGCATCCAATCAGCAGCTTCAAACTAACGTAGTAGTTGAGTTCCAAAAAGTGAAACCAGTGTTTTTCCAGTGAAGCACGACCCCTAGCGGTCCAGAGGCTCTCTCCATCCAAGCAACGAAAATCACCCTTTAGTGGATTTCTTTCATGACGGGAGTGAGAGGGTTTCCGAAATGATACCGTGTGTTCTTGCGCCATCTGGAGGTTGATGCTTTATTTATTGATAAATACCCACAGATTCATTTTGAGGACACGATAATTCTCGCCACATGAATGTTATGAAAAATAATGCCATTACACAAATTCACAAGTGGGGCAAGCTAGGAAAGCTCTTTAGTGTTTTAACTAAAACTAGACTTTTGGGATTATCTGTTGAAAGTCACTAACAGTTATTTGATCAGACAGTCTTATATCTGTATGGGTGTAGAGGTGTAGGGCAATGAAGACATTTCATATATTGAAGCTTTTCAGGTTATCATTATTTATCTGAATAGTTCTTTTATTGGATCTTATGTTACTTTTTGATTTATTCCTTTATTGTTTAACTTCTAAGTTTTTACATTTCTAGACCTTCTGGCCTGTGTTTGTCTTTTAAGTTTTGTGTTATTGTACAGAACTTTGGTCAGCCCTGTTGTTGTTTTTAAAGGTGCTTTATGGGATGGAATGGGATTTTAAGTCGCACAGACAGAAATATCTGCCTGTATATTTTAGGTTGAGACCAAATGAATACAAGACAACGGGAGCTGTTTAACCCTAAAGACATTATTATGCAGTGTAAACTTGCAAAACTTAAGGAAGCTCTATCTGCATTTGGACATGCGTAATTTATTGATAGATGTATTTATTTTAGTTTCTTTTTGTTTGTCTTGCTCTATGGTGACATGTATTGAATGACCCCATGCCATATTTGTGTGTATTTTCTCTTTTACCCAAGGAGGGGGTAATATAACGCTAAAGCTTCTCAAATTTAAACTAAACACTTTCTCTGGCTGTCCACAGAAAACACACACACACACACACACACACACACACACACACACACACACATATATATATATATATATGCCACACTAACCTATATCAGTCAGTCGATTTTTTAAATGTGCAGTATGGAGTATAAAACTGTAAAATGTCTAATGTGATACACAGACTCTGACTGAAATACAAAAACATCATGGTGAACATCAAGAGAAACATGAAAGTATAAGGAAACTGAGTAGTTTGAACAGGTCAAAAAGAATACAATTAGTTTCTCTGTATATGTTAGAAAAGAACTCAAACTGCGGTAGTTTTGGTTTAGTATTAAATCACCTATGAAAAAGTGCTGGAAAGTCAGATCATTACACAATACCCAAATTCTCACAGTGGGTATAGCAAACTGCAATAAGGGATCTCATGTCTCCCAGCAGAATTTAAATGCAACAAAGTGAGGTTGGTCATGACCCTCAAAACCTGAAAGACCAATATTTTCAGTGTAGAAGTGTTGTTGCCACATCTGTTTGTTGAGTTACTTCCTCCAACAAGCAATCAAATCCTTGCCATTAGATACAATCTGGACTGAACGCAAAGGCGAAAATGGTGGCATGTGGAACTGAGGAAGGTGCACTGTGAATACCATGAAGAGCAACTGAACCCTCTTATGTCCTGAGCTTATCAACAAAGGATCAAAGAAGGGTCGTTCCCACCTGAGGATCCAGTATTTGATGCACCTACTAATCCATTCTTATTTCCAACATTGCGAGTATCATCATCAGATCATATTAGCTGTAAAACTACATTCACATTTCTTTAAGTACTTAAATGTAGCACTACTTCACTTGAGTCATGTTATTGGACTTCACCTTTCTACTTCAGAGAAAAAAATACTATACTTATAATCTGTGAGTTAGTTACACTGAACATTAAAATGACTAAAGGTGTAATAATAAAGTAATAATAAATCTTCTGTATTAATTTTGATACTGGGAGGATTAAGAGGATAGTCCTTTACTTCTACTTTATATTGGACTTGAGTATCTTTTGAATACAGTATTCTTACAGATAAGCATCTCAAAAACTTCTCAGCCTCAAATACCATTAAATTCTGAGGTACTGATGTGTTATCCAGTTTATTACAATTAAATGATCGCTGATCTGGTTTATTGATTTAAATCAGGATATATCTTAGTTATTATTGAATTTCTGTAATCCATGCCATCTCGCATGTTTCAGGACTAAACATGACTGTATTTTTTATCATAGCTGATAACGTGATTATCAAATGTTTCATTTACCGTTTAACCAAAAGTCTTTCATTATAAAGTAAGAGGAACATTATCGATATGCTAATATCAATAATCTTTAGGGACTTTTTCAGCTTTGACTGCAATTATTTATATTTGTCATTGGTTGTAACAATAACAGCTAGAGCCTATCCCTGCTGTCACTGGGCGAAGGGTGAGGTACACCCAGGATATAGGCTACATCAGTCTAGCCTGCATTTTTAGGACTGAGGGGGGAGGCTGGAGTACCCAGAGAGATCCCGTGCAGGCACCAGATAAAAATGTAGACTCCACACAGAAAAACCCCAGTCAGCTAAGTGCAAACCAGGAGGTGATAGCCACTGTAAAAATAAGCTAATGCTCTCTTTTTCATTTACTTATTTTACTCCTGCTTAAAATATAACTTCACATTAGTCTTTCAGATGTAAAAGGATTTAAACATAGTGGACATGCCGATGTAATGCTTTTCTCACTTTATGTAGTGTTGAGTGAGAAAAGCTTTATATCTATATCTGCTCAAATTATTTTTTTGCTCAAAGGGGTGAACAAAGCACATTAGAAGATGGTGCCCCACTCAGAGGTAAAGGCATGCTCAAAAGCTAGGGGCAAAACACAGAGACCCCTGGGAGGGCTGACTGCTAAACCTTGATGTTACTCCATTCTAAAAAAACAAAATAGCTAAGCTACAGCAAAGCAAACTCAGAAGTCAATATATTCTTGCATGAAGAACACAACAAACCAGAAGAGGAGCAACAGTGAAACTAACTTATGAGTTTTGTGTGGAGGCAGAGCAGGACTGGGACAAAAAATCAGCTTGGGAATTTTGAGCCCACCGGGTATTATAGGAAAAGCCATAAAGCCTTTGAATGAAAACAGTGATGTACACTGTCTTGTTGGTATATATGTATTGATCTAATAAACTTAAACTTACGGCATCCTCCCGATTCTGGTATTTTAAACAGTATTTAGCAGAAATATTAAACAACAAAATAAGGGAACCACCCCGCACCCTCCGCCTCATGATGCTTAATCGACGTAACAGACTTTAAGTTAATGCATGTGTAAAACAAATGCACAGAAACCTTTTTTTTTGGTTCTTTCTTCTTCTTTTTTTTTTTTTTACAATAATTAAATAGATTCAACATCTTTCTTCAACAGAATTGCAGATTGCACAGATGATACCTTCCCAAAGAAAAAAGTACTATAACTTACTAGGTAGATTAGATTTAATAGTTACTATATACAATAATGGACTTCTATACATTTTACATCAGATTAAAACTTTGGGTGTAAGATTCAGATAATTATTTATTAAAAGCTAGACATTTTAAATGAGAATAAGAAAGAAAAGTATTTCTTTGTGCCCCTTTCCCTGTTAATGCCCTACCTGGCCCCCCTGGCAAAACTTTGCTAGATCCGCCCCTGCACAGTTACCAGCTGTCAGCTACTTAGAAAAGGATCCTGGTGTTATTTGTCTCTCAGAAACAGTTCATAACTTCCCTTCAACTCATTCATGTCACCTAAAAGGTAAACCTGTTTCTCCATCACCTGTTCAGCTCTGATGATTCAGTAAGGACATCTCCTGGTTTCATCTTCATGTTTCCCTCTCACCACATATCCAAACCGATATCATGACCAGCAGCTTTTACAGCTGTGGCTCCAGCAAACATCAGCTGATACTAGAAAGAAATGCTAAATAAATTCTAATCGCATTCATTTTCATCTCAATACGGAACTTTAAAGTTCGACCTCATTGGCTGTAATTTGCCCAGGCCAGAGTCGATCATGACCAGTTGGCCAGTCCACCACCTTTCAAACAAAAAACATCGGCCCATAAAAATGAAAAATCATCATAGGCCCACCGGGCAATTGCCCAGTATGCCCGATGGCCAGTCCAGCTTTTTGACTTTGATTTGTAGGTTTGTAGTATAGAAAGCAAACAAAATAACATCTGACAAAATAACCGTAAAGGCCGGTTTGGGGTTAAAATGTTTGGTCTTAATGTTTTCTCTACAAATAAATATAAGATTTTACATTTTTAAAAAACAGTTTGAAAAGGTGGCAATATTTGGTGAGCATCTTTACAACAATTTAAAACTCCTCCATGTGGCCTTAGCATGGACCTTATAGCTCCTTATAACTTTCCTGGAGGGGCCCCAGTGCAGGCCAGTGAGTAAAACTATAGGATGGGCATGTATTAGCCTGCCCATCCTTTTCAGGCAATTCTTCTGACCAACTTAAAAAACCAATGGCAACCTCTAAAAAGCCTGTCTTTGTCACCCTTAAACCCCAAGATGCTTTAAAACACCATTGTGCAGTTAAACCTCATAAATTTGTCGCAGGGACTGATTAAACATCACGGGAATTGAAACACTAAAGATTTTGTCTCGGTCCCTTTTGGATGAGGGACAATGGTCCATTCACAGAGAGACACCCAAACAAAAAGAGCATTTAAGGAGAGATGCAGCGAGCTGAGGGGTTCGGCCAGTCCCTTCCATATGTGATACAAGGTGGCCCCAGTGATGCGGACAAAGGGCCAGGTGACAGTGACGATGGGCTGCAGGGTCACAGGACGAGCAAACAACATTATAGGGGGCGTGAAAGCAGAAGACCCCCCTCATCACTGATGAAAAACTGACATGATTTTAAACACTGAGGCATATTTTTCAAGATAAGCATGAGTGGACCTGCTTTCTTGAGGTGGCACAGCAATGTTAAAAAAATAGTCACGTATGTATTATATTTAGGAAGAGCTATAATATTACAAGTAACATTGTAGTGAATGTTTTTGTATTACTCTCGAGGATTGGTTTAAACTGTTGCCTGAATGCAGACACACAAAAACCCAAATGTGTTGTGTTTATACTAGAAAACAACAGTAAGAGCTCATTTTGCCTTTTTAAATCATTTGTAAATTAGAACAGTTCAATTGTGGAATAAATAATATTACATTTCTGTATGAGAAGTGAAAAAGGGTTGATGATTTGCCTTCAGTTACTGCTATGCCCCTCAAAAATCACATCATCATCATAATCACACACACACACACACAACAAGTTAATAGCTATATTAAGACCACTTTCCTCAGAATAACAAAAGTTAATTGTATAAGGGAAAAGCAGCTCTTAGTCCCAGACAACAACAGCGTGCTGTAGAGGGACAGGCCTTATTGTTTACTGGCTATTCTTATGCCAAACCTAGTCTGTTAGGATGTGATGTTTGCTCAGCTTTTGGGTGCAAAATTCGTTTTTAACATTATAAAAGCTCCCTGGGGCCTCTGTCAAGACCTGCTACATTTTTTTAGATTAAAAAAAAAATCTTTTTTTCTTTTAAGCTTGTTTTTATTTTAGAACTTCACATAAATCTTTACACAAAACCTTTTGTAGGAAAACGAAAACCTTTTATCTTTAGCTTAGTCTTTAGAAATGCATGCACAGGGTACACGCTTTTGGGGCCAACACATAAAAAAAGAAAGAAAGAAAGAAAGCACATTACATTGTCAAAATATACAAAATATGAAGAATTTTATTAATAATTTTGTTCACAGAAAGACAGTTAAATCTTTAAAAAAGTATCCTTAAAACCAACAAATGGCATATTCTCCCTTCATACTTATATAGCGGCTTTGCCCCTATTCTCCTATCCTCTTCTACCGCCTAATGCAGCTACTGGAACTCAATTATCAAGTCATTTATGTAAATATTACATTTAAAAAGGCTTAAAAATCACACGAATACACCTCGGTAATTAAAAATCTAAAGGCTACAGCAATGAGCCATGTAAGAGAAAACAACATTTAAAATTTCCGCATACGTGCGTAAATAATGTGCAAAATATAATTCATTCTATAGAAAAAAATCTAAACGTTTAAGTTGCTCGAACATTTACAAAACATTCAGAAAACATTTGATGCCGTTCTAAATGAGTTAAACGAGACCTTTACTTAAAAGAATTAAGATGAACCGAATCACTCCAAAAGTCTCTCCAGGCGAAGCTGGAGGCCGCCGCCACTGCCGGAAAGTGTTGGTGGTACCTTGGAGGAAGAGCAACGGGGGATGGATGCTGAAGAGATGTGTAAGCTAAAGGGAAGGGCACCGGCTGAGATGACGGAGGTAAACACCCAAATTTCTCAGAGTCAAGTAAGCATGTGTGAAAGGGTTTCCCGTCTCGGACCAGGATCGGAACAACGACTCTGCGCAAAACCGGCGGCTGCGGGATTTCTACGTCCTGCAGTGCTCCTTCTGCTCGACCTCGCTTCATCTTGTAGCGGTGGTTCTGAAACCAGATCTTCACCTGGGTTGGAGTCAGGCTCAGCAGCCGTGCCAGCTGTTCTCTCTCCGGACCCGACAGGTAGCGCTGCTGGCGGAAGCGCCTTTCCAGCTCAAGGGTCTGGGCCTTGGAGAACAAAACGCGGCGTTTCTTGCTCTTCTTGCTCTGCTCAGGCTCTGAATCGAGGGACGGGTCATCGGGCTTAGTTGAGTCAGGAGAGGCCTCGAAATTGCAATCGTCAGAAGCTGTAGAAAAAAAAGTTAGAATAAGCATTTTTAAACTGATGTGTCTATCTATCTATCTATCTATCTATCTATCTATCTATCTATCTATCTATCTATCTATCTATCTATCTATCTATCTATCTATCTATCTATCTATCATTTTGAGAAAGCAAATTGTTAAAACATTTCAGGGTAGTCTTAGTTTTTTCTCCCCTTGTTTTTAAATGCGGGTTGTTTTTAAAATTCATTATCACCCATCTCTCATGGCTTTAAACGCCCACTTACACATGCAAAGGCTCCGCTCGCAGTCGATCCATGAGCTGTAGGGTGAGCTGGAAGAGCAAGAGGAGTAAATCGGGGAAGACCGCTTTGCTGCATCCGCATCCTGCTCAGGCAAATCCAGGATGCTCCTTACGGAAAAACTGAACTTGGTCGGTGCAGCCATCCTTTCCTTGCATGCACTCTGGGTTTGTTCGCTGGCCGATAAGAAGCAAGCAACTCAAAAAATCTATCAAAAAAAGTCCACTTCAACCACGCAATTTGTCCCCCAAAACCAAGCCCAGTTTTTTGTAGATGGACCCGTGCGGTGACGGGGCGTGGGGCGAGAGGGGTTTCGTTGGCGCACCCCTTCCGAGCGTAGGGGGCGGGTCAGGTGGGATGTAGGGCGCGACCGCCTTCCAGTAAGATGTAGGGACGAGACCCTCTCGTGATTATTGATAGTGCACCTGTGTTGGAAGTGAATTTTCAACAGACTCTTTCACATAAGCTGCATAATAGTGACACAGAGGGGCTGACGAGAGAGCGCGAGTACTTATGTTATTTAGCAGAAACAGTAGTCCTCGGCTCCTCATGCTGAGGTGGTGTAAGGCGGTGTGAATAAGCCTCACGTAGTTTGCATGTACCCGCGGTCGGAATGGAATGGAATTAGAATGAGATAGTGTGAGACGTACCGATCGAGAAAAAAGAATGATATCAGCGCAGAGCGTGACGAGATTCTACACGATTGGCAGTGAGGAGTATACGAGAGCAGCGCGGTAGCTAGATGGAGCAACACAGTCTATATCCAGTGTTCGAAGTCGACGATTCGCATGACCGGCTTAACGCATGTGTGCAGCTGAACTTGAGTATCCACAGAGGCGTCATGCGGCTCGTATAGGTCAGCAACGTATTCGTGGTAGAGAACAGAAAGTCGATCAGTGGAGAGGAGAGGGAGAAATACAATAGACGCGCCACATCACGCTGATCGGAGTAGTGACAGACTTCGGATTGTGTATGTAGTACTAAGTATAGAACTAGCTGATGAGTAGAACTCTGTCACTCAGAATGCAGTCATAGCTCACGCTAGTATCTGATCCTGGGTGGCAACTGAGGAAGTAGGGAAGATGTGCGAGAGCCCGTAAGCAAGAGTCCACCCCCCGTCTGTCGTCATCTTATGTAACCCCCTCTCTCTCTCGTCTCTGACATAGATGCAGATCTCTCGCCCCCCTCCTCCCTCTTTTTTGCCCAAACAACGTGTCCAATATTTGCATACAAAGTGAGCAATTAGCGTGATGCCTGCCAGTTGGTTTAACTAATACGCCTCTAATGGGCGTATTAATTGCAGACGTGAGAAGTCTTGACGTTTATGGACGGCGGAGGATTTCCAGACTTTGTTTCCGAAACGTCCTTTTTGGACTAGATGATTTATTATCATGTTTAATTTTTGGGCAAACAGAAATGTTAAAACTTGGTTTGGAAGATATGATTTGAAATAAGGGTGTTATATTATTGACAAATATTTTTTTAAGGTATTTGTATTTTATCGTGTTTAGAACTGCTAATATAATAGCGATAACTGTAACCCAACAGCAGATTTTTACCTAAATTTAACACGAAAATAAGCCTGGGGGATTTTCTGATAAATTGCTGCAGTGGTTGGTCAATTTGTTACCCTTGTGCTAGCTTATAAACCACATTGATTGCAAAGCGTGAATCCAGTCTCATGTCAACACGATGTTGGTGGTGGTGGTGGTGGTGCTTTTCCTCCTCCCTACTTCTAGTAACTGATATTGATATCCACCCTCAGCCACTTCACCAAGGTGCACGAGGGCCGAGGAGGAGAGTAGTGGTGGACATGCCTCCCCAGTCGTCCTGGGTGGTCGAACGAGGGGGAACACAAATACATGCCAACCAGAGAAGGGGAACAAAGGGGGAAAATGTAGCCCCGCGTCCGAGACCCGTTGGAAGCATTTGTTCCAGTCAAGATTTTGCATTTGTTCAGTCCAGCAATAATGCCTGATTGACGCCCCGGCACAATGTCCTTTAACTTAGCAAGATAAATCCGAGCTTGTTCTGTGTTGTCATGGTTTTGAATGGAGCTGAATAGGATCTGGGACACTATCTACTGCTCTGCGTCTACTGCCACCAAGTCTATAGCTCAAAGCAATATTCAGGACTTGTTAAATTCCATTTAGATTTCCGAGTTCAAAAAAAGTCGCTGACCTGTATTATTACTCCGCCAAAATGCTCTGAAATCCACCTTTACCTGTCGTTTTACACTTTTTTTACGCACAAGTAATCTCGTCTATGAAAACCAAACAGTGTTAAGTAACCTTTAAGTGTTTACATCACGCACAAACGTCTTAAAAGACGCACTCCTCCCGAAGCACATTTTGTGTGTACACATCGGCCTCCCAGTGGTTGACAAACAGCAGAGGATTACAGTACTGCAGGTTAGCTGGAGTGGGTAGTTTACAGAGGGCACTCGATTGGAGAGCAAAAACACCCAAAAGCAAAGAAAAGTCATGTCCAAAGAGCGGGAATTTCTTTGACCCAGCAGCCCCTTAATCTATTTAACACCCGCGGGCTTCAGCCAGAGTGGGCTCTCTGCATCTCCCAAGAGCTCTCCACTGCCAAATATTTACTCTGTTGTTCAGCTCTCCATTCCCAATCCCTCCTCAGCCAAATGGAGATTTTTCTCTCATGGTTCTAGTCAGCAGCTGAACTGACAGTTCAGAGCTTTCCCTAGAAGTTCGACGAAGAGACCCCTTCTGTTTTCCACCCTGCAATCATATATATATAGGGAAAAAGAGAGATTATCAATTAAACCCTTAATTTCTTTTACATTAAAAGGTATCCAGAGCAGCAGGAAAATAACAAATGTACCACGTTTAAATGTTATATAAAAATACTGAACTTTGCAAATTAATTTCCAAAAACATCCACACTCGCGTTTTCATCAATTTATCAAGTATACATAAAATAAATCTATCTCTCTTGAAATAATACGACAAATAATAAATACCATGTTATTAAATCAGTGCAATTTGTATTCAAAACCAGCATAGCGTTCAGGCCACTTTACAAAGTTATCTTTGTTAAATGTCAACAGTGTTCTTGTGCCAAAACACTAACCCTGCTGACTCTGGCTTTATCAAAGTGGTCAGATTAGAGGTGCAGCAACTACCTGCTATTGCTCCTGCAGCCTTTGGCTTGCCTGAATACTCTTTTCTTTCGAAACTCCAACTTTTGTTTTCTTGACTAAGCTACATCTCATTCACCTTGTACCCGTAAACAGCCTAAAATAGAAGGATAGAAGAAAAAACAGAGAGAAAAAGTGGGCTGCATGTGTGTGCTTCATCATTTCACGTGAAAGTCCTGACGACCTCGTGAGTCATTTCCTTGTTTCAGCTTCAACTGTGAACTACAGGAGGTCACTAATTAGTAATAACCCTTTATTTCCCCACCTCATAATTTATCCAATCAGCTCACGTCATTCTGAATTTTTGAGATTTATTTTGTAGACGTTGAAAAATCCACTTGGTTCAAATGAGAGGTGTTGTTGGACCCTGTCACACAGCCTATGAGGAAACATGACGTCACGAGACGAAGCCAATATGATGCCACTAGGGGCAGACATACTGCTGCATCCAATCAGCAGCTTCAAACTAACGTAGTAGTTGAGTTCCAAAAAGTGAAACCAGTGTTTTTCCAGTGAAGCACGACCCCTAGCGGTCCAGAGGCTCTCTCCATCCAAGCAACGAAAATCACCCTTTAGTGGATTTCTTTCATGACGGGAGTGAGAGGGTTTCCGAAATGATACCGTGTGTTCTTGCGCCATCTGGAGGTTGATGCTTTATTTATTGATAAATACCCACAGATTCATTTTGAGGACATGATAATTCTCGCCACATGAATGTTATGAAAAATAATGCCATTACACAAATTCACAAGTGGGGCAAGCTAGGAAAGCTCTTTAGTGTTTTAACTAAAACTAGACTTTTGGGATTATCTGTTGAAAGTCACTATCAGTTATTTGATCAGACAGTCTTATATCTGTATGGGTGTAGAGGTGTAGGGCAATGAAGACATTTCATATATTGAAGCTTTTCAGGTTATCATTATTTATCTGAATAGTTCTTTTATTGGATCTTATGTTACTTTTTGATTTATTCCTTTATTGTTTAACTTCTAAGTTTTTACATTTCTAGACCTTCTGGCCTGTGTTTGTCTTTTAAGTTTTGTGTTATTGTACAGAACTTTGGTCAGCCCTGTTGTTGTTTTTAAAGGTGCTTTATGGGATGGAATGGGATTTTAAGTCGCACAGACAGAAATATCTGCCTGTATATTTTAGGTTGAGACCAAATGAATACAAGACAACGGGAGCTGTTTAACCCTAAAGACATTATTATGCAGTGTAAACTTGCAAAACTTAAGGAAGCTCTATCTGCATTTGGACATGCGTAATTTATTGATAGATGTATTTATTTTAGTTTCTTTTTGTTTGTCTTGCTCTATGGTGACATGTATTGAATGACCCCATGCCATATTTGTGTGTATTTTCTCTTTTACCCAAGGAGGGGGTAATATAACGCTAAAGCTTCTCAAATTTAAACTAAATATTTTCACTCTTTGGCCTTTCCACAGAAAGACACACACACACAGACACACACACACACACACACACACACACACACAGACACACACACACACACACACACATATATATATATATATATATGCCACACTAACCTATATCAGTCAGTCGATTTTTTAAATGTGCAGTATGGAGTATAAAACTGTAAAATGTCTAATGTGATACACAGACTCTGACTGAAATACAAAAACATCATGGTGAACATCAAGAGAAACATGAAAGTATAAGGAAACTGAGTAGTTTGAACAGGTCAAAAAGAATACAATTAGTTTCTCTGTATATGTTAGAAAAGAACTCAAACTGCGGTAGTTTTGGTTTAGTATTAAATCACCTATGAAAAAGTGCTGGAAAGTCAGATCATTACACAATACCCAAATTCTCACAGTGGGTATAGCAAACTGCAATAAGGGATCTCATGTCTCCCAGCAGAATTTAAATGCAACAAAGTGAGGTTGGTCATGACCCTCAAAACCTGAAAGACCAATATTTTCAGTGTAGAAGTGTTGTTGCCACATCTGTTTGTTGAGTTACT